ACATGGAATTAACTTAAATGCCCATCAGTGATAGACTAGATAAGGGAAAGGTGGTTACACACACACCATAGGATAGTATGCAGCCATAAAAAAAGAACAAGATAATGTCCTTTGCAAGTATGTGGGATGGGGCTGGAGGCCATTATCCTTAGCAAACTAACACAGGAAGATGAAACCAAACACTGCCAGTTCTCACGTAAAGTGGGAGCTAAATGATGATAACACATGGATAGGAACAACACACACTGGGGCCTATCAGAGGGTGGGGGTTGGAGGAGGGACAGGATCAGGAAAAACAAGTAATGAGTATTAGGCTTAATACCTGGTGATGAAATAATCTGTACAACAAACCAAACTCCCATAACACGTTTACCTATATAACAAAGCTGCACGTGTACCCCTGAAATAAAAGAAAATAGAGCCCATTATCTAATAAAGTCATCACTAGATCTTTGTAATAAAACAACAGTTCAGAAAATTGAATAAAATGCAGCTATTTAATAAAGTGAGCTTTATATGTATTAATATATCACACTATATTAAGTTTTAAAAATATAGTTGCAATTCATACAGAAATGGAAACACAGGCTGGGTGCAGTGGCACACATTTGTTATCCCAGCACTTTGGGAGGCCAAGGCAGGTGTATCACTTGAGGCCAGGAGTTCCAGACCAGACTGGTCAACATGGTGAAACCCTGTCTGTACGAAAAGTAACAAAAATTAGCTAGGCATGGTGGCATGTGCCCGTAATTCTAGCTAGTCAGGAGGCAGAGGCCCAAGAATCACTTGAACCTAGGAGGCAGAGGTTACAGTGAGCCGAGATCATCCCACTGTACTCCGACCCGAGCAACAGAGAAGAAAAAGAAAAGAAAAGGAAAGGAAAAAAGAAAAGAAAGAAGGAAGGAAAGAAAAAAAAGGAAGGAAGGAAGAAAAGAAAGAAAGGATGGAAGGAAGGGGAGAAGGAGGGAGAAAGAGAACAAGAAAGAAGAGAGAAGGAGGCGGGGGAAAGAAAGAGGCAGGGAGGGAAGGAAGGAAGAAAAGAAGGAAGAAGAAGGAAGAAAAAGAAAGAAAAAAGAGAAAGAAGTTGAATTTATTCTGGAAAATTTATTAGGAAGATGGAGGGGACCTAGACTTTTATTTATATATTTAATGTTATTTTTGTAATTTGGAAAATATCATATATGTAAAATAGAGTATCTTATTTTCTATAATAGATAGGCAGGCTTTCAGTTCATATGCTTACACAAAAGTATATTTGAATCATGAGTTTACACATTTAAAAGAGGTGGAGTAGAGACACCTTGTTTTACTCCAAATTAAATTATCCAATTATTAATCATGACACTATATCTGCCAACTCCAGCTTCTATGGGAATTTTAAGCACATATTTGGCTTGAACGTTATTTATTGAAAGTATCTAATGAGCTCATTCAGTTTGGACTATAATTGATTTACAGCCTTTGAGTTCAAGATTGAGTCAAGGCTCCTAAAAGGAAAAAAACAATGTTTCTCCAAACAAATGTATCCATATAAGGAAGAAGATAATACAAGTTGTTACAAGTGTCTAGCTGAACTTCTGCTTTCACCCAAAGATGGGATTTATCTTCTCAAATAACTAGAAAACCAGAAAAAATATATGAAACAGTAGTTATCAGACACTGAACAACAGACAACCTAAAGCAGTCATCTATAAGAGAAGAGAAAGAAATGAGGCAAGCCCTATAACTGCCCCAGCATGCTCTCTGGAGAGAATTTCCAGGCCAAAATCCTGAAGGAAAAATTTAAACAAAACCTAGGAGTCTCTCTGAGTCAAGGAAACAGAACATAGGGTTTGCAAAGGCCATAGCTGCTAGAATTCACAGCACAGAGTACCAGAGAGGAGAGCTGCATAGAGAGAGGATTGTGGAAATATGAACAAGGATTTCCTTGAAGTCTTCAGTTAATAGCATACATATGTAACAAAACAACCAAGGCCAAGGAAGTAATCAGCAGAAAGCAGTAGTGCCAGGTAAAGTTCATGTTTCCACCAGCCCAGGTAGAGACACCTCGTAATACACAGGGCATTGAGTAGTGTATTCTAAGAAGTATATTCTAAGTAGTGGGGCCAAATTAGAAATAGACGAGGCGGGTGGATCACGAGGTCAAGAGATTGAGACCATCCTGGTCAACATGATGAAACCCTGTCTCTACTAAAAATACAAAAAATTAGCTGGGCATGGTGGTGCGTGCCTGTAATCCCAGCTACTGGGGAGGCTGAGGCAGGAGAATTGCCTGAACCCAGGAGGCGGAGGTTGTGGTGAGTCGAGATCACGCCATTGCACTCCAGCCTGGGTAACAAGAGCGAAACTCCGTCTCAAAAAAAAAAAAAAAAAATAGACAAAAAGTATTTGTGAAGTTACCCTAACACTTAAGCCTTAAAATGATCACACTGTTTCCAATTATCATAACTGAATCCAAGAATAAGGCTAAGGAAAAAAAATCTAAAGAACACCAGAAAGAGAAAAACAAGAGAAACATTCAGCAACAAACAATGTAAAGTTCACAATTTTTGGCATCCAATCAAAAATTACCAGGCATGAAAAGAAGCAGGGAAAATGTAATGCATAACTAAGAGAAAACATATTAAAGACAGACATAGAAATGACACAGATTAGAGAATCAGTAGACAAAACCTTAAAACAGTCATTTTAAATATTCATCGTGTATTCAAAAGGTAGAAGAAAGCATGAACCAAGATGTGGAAAAAATGAGAGATCCAAATCTAACTTCTAGCCATAAAGATTACCATGTACAAAATGTAACTATGTGTAATAGATTCGATTAACAGCAGCTGAGACACTGAAAAAGAAAATTTAGGTGCATTTGAAGACACAGTGATAGAACAATGCAAAATGAAATACAGAGAAAAATAGACTGAAAGGGAAAGCAGAGAATCAATAATGCTTGAACAATATCAAGTAGTCAAAGAATCACAGAAGAGGAGAAAACAGATGAGGAAACAGAAGAAATATTGGAATAAAGGTAAAAAATTTGTCAAATTTGATGAACTCTCAGAATCTAAAAATCCAAGAATCATAGCCCCAAGTAGAGAAAAACCATACCAAGATACATTATCATCAAATTTCTTTAAACTATCAATAAAGAAAAAAAAGTTTAAAACAGACAGAGGAAAGAAAAAGAAAAAATACATAGAAGAAGAAGAAAGGACAGCAAATTTCTCATTAGACACAAAGAAAGCCAGAAGTTTAGAACAATCCTTTATGGAGAAGGAACAGTATCAGTTCAAAATTTGGATTTATATAGCAGAATAAAGGACACTGGAAATGGGAAATATATGGGTAAATATTAAAGATTTTTTCAAATATATTTAAAATATAATTATTTAAAGGGAAAATAATCACAATCATGTATGGATTTTATACCACATAGAAAAGTAAAATATATTACAACATTAGAACAAGGGTGGGGGTGGACACAAGTATTCTTTTGAAAGGTTCTCATACCATATGTAAAATGGTATATTACTTGAAAGCAGGCTGTGATAAGTTAAACCTGTACACTGTAAAGCTATGGTTTCCATTGAAAAAAAAAAGCAAGATAGAAAGAATGAGCAAGGGGATATGTAGAAAACAGCAAGCTGGAAAATTTAAGCAGAAACAAATTTTTAAAAGCACATTAAAAGTGAATGCTATATATACATACCAAATAAAAGTGATTGTTGGCTGGCTAAAATTTCTATGCAGTCTATAGGAAAACTCAGACAAGTAGAAAGTCCAAGAATGGAAAAATATATACTATTACAAATCAAAGGGATGCTTGAATAGCTACAATAATATCAGACAGAGTGGATTCTAGAGTACAGAATTTTAAAAAGAATGGTATTATTTTATAATGATGAAGTTATCAGTTTAAGAAGATATAACAATCCTAAATGCTATGTACCTACAAACAGCTTCAAAATATATAAAGCAAAAACTCTTTTAATTGAAAGACGAAATAGCCAAATCCAAAATTACAGTCAGAGATCTTAACATCTTTTTTTGAATAATTAATAGAAAAGACAAAATCAGCAAGGATATAGAACATTTGAAGGTACTTTCAATCAGTTTAACCTAATTGTCATTTATAGAACACTCCAGCCAACAGTAGCACAGTATACTTTCAAGTGTATGTGGAACATTTACTAAAATAGAACATACTTTGTGACATAAAGCAACTGTCAGAAAATTTAAAAGGATTGAAATCATACAAAGTATATTCTCTAACCACAATGAAAATATATCTGAAATCAGTTAGATATCTGGAAAATCCCAAATCTGTGAAAACTAAACGTGTACACAAACTTCTAAATCAAAGACGATATCAAAAGATAATTTAAAAGATATTTTGGGCTGAATGGAAATGAATCGTAGCATATTACAATTTGAGAATATAGCTAAAATGGTTATAGAAACCTAAAGTTTTATATTAGAAAAGTATTAAAGTTTAAAATAATAAACCTAAACTTGTACCTGAAGAAAGTAAAAAAAAGAAAAGCCAATTAAACCCAAAGTAAGGAGAAGAAATAATAAAGTTAAGTGCAGATGTCATTGAAATGGAAAACATGAACATTGGAGAAAATCAAAGAAATTCTGTTTCTATAAAAAGATCAATAACATTAATAGATCCCTAGCCAGACTGATAGCAGAGAGAGGGAGAGAGAAGGGCGGAGAATGCAAATTACTAACATCAAGAATGAGAGGGGTGATATCACTATTGATACTACAGATGTTCAAAGGATAATAAGGAAATGCTATCAACACTTCGGCCCTAGCACCTCTTTCTTAGGGCAGAGCTTTCGTCTAGTTTGTCTATTTCTGATGGACAGGAGTAAGGTAAGTATGTTGTATGATTATGCTTCTCCATATGAATATAGACTTAAATTAAAAATATAAAATCTAAACTTTAAGTAATTTTTACTAGAAATATAATTGCTAAAACCTTTAAAACTTAATTTTAGGTACATATCAATTTTTAAGGCAACTGTAAAAGACGACATACAAAAAACTAAAACTGCAATGAAAACAATGGGACCAGCAAAAGTTGAAGTACCTTCTCCAAAGGATTTCCTAAAGAAACATTCAAAGGAAAAAACCTTACCACCCAGTAGGTTTTATCAGGCTTTCTTTTTCATATTAAAAGTGTTAGCATGTGATTTAACTAAAATTATTTTATTGTGGATGAATATTAAATGTGCACAGGTGATAGCAACTTTACCTCATATTAAACATAATTTGACTAGGAAAAAGTGGAATTAGAGAATGGAGTAGAAAAAGAAAATGGAGAGTGATAAGTTGCCCCCAAATAGACTTTTGATTGGGTTTGGACTATCCAATGAAGCCCACATACCTCACCACTTTAGTGCCTAGCTGTGGGGCTTCAGTTATAAACAACAGTTACAGGAAGAGTCTAGACCCCAGAGACAGTGTCTGATGAATAGGAAGATTGCCCAGCATCTAAACCCTGTCTGGCCTTTTCTCCAAGAGATGAAAATTACAACTATTACTACCAGTTGTTGAAGCAACTACTAGGCTCACTTTTGAATATGGGCTTTTACTCTCCCAGACCTCTGAGACCAACTGGATGGACTGTGAGTGAGTTAGATGTAATGGAAGAGGCTTCATGAATAAGTGGTAGAACCAGCTTAGGGCCCCATGCCTATTTTAATACTGTGCCCTTGCTGTACTGAAATTTTTAAATTTTGATAAAGTAGCCTTGTGTTTTTATTTTTTACTGGGCCTCAAAAATTATGTAGTTGATCCCAGTTATGGAGTCTATTAATTTCAGGAAAGAAAGCTATCAGGGATAGGGAGAGTAGATGAAAAGTGATCTGTGACATGTAGGCATGGAAGCAATAGCCTCACAGCCCAGGTATGTCTTCCCAGATGTCTTAGGGCAAGAAAGAAAAGACAGTGCCCGGGCAACAAAGCAAGATCCTGTTTGTAAAAAAAAAAAAATTAGCTAGATGTAGTGGCATGCACCGGTAGTCTCCGCTACTTCGGAGGCCTATGTGGAAGGATCGCTTGAGCCCAAGAGTTTGAGATTGCATGAGCTATGATCAAGCCACTGCCTTCCAGCCTGGAAAACAGAGCGAGACCCCATCTCAAAAAAAAAAAAAAAAAGAGAGAGAGAGAAGAAATGAGTCTGTCTCTTCAAAATTTTGGCTTTTTATGTCTGCTGGCATCAAGGAAATAATGCAACATCTCAAGCCCAGCTATGGATGTACATTTTAACAAAAGTGAAACTACTTCTCCTTATGGCAGTATTTAATGGCCCAAATCCTCTCTCAACCCATATTCCATGACAAAGGGTAAAGGCACCATCAGGCAATATGGAAGAACCAAGTATGAGACTACACTATTCATGCTTAATTCATGCCACAGAAGTCTCTTTTGTATCTTCCTCTAGTCTTGGCCTTTCATGACCCATAATTCTACGACCAACAATACCATTGGAAAATACAGGGAAATCTTAAAATGGAATTTGATGCTTTCAATACCTTAGGACCAATGATATCCCTTGGGTCCTCATATAGCCTCTCTAGGGTTAAGCATATGATATAACACAACTAGATATAGATATAGATATAGATATAGATAGACACCTATCTCTCATTTTATAAACATTGTAAAGCAAACCCAAAATTTCATTGGCCTTTAGAGTAATTCATTGATTCAGGGTGCTAGGGCTGGGCACAGTGGCTCATGCCTGCAATCCCAGCATTTTGGGAGGCCAAAACAGAAGGATTGCTTTAGCCCAGGAGTATGAGACCAGCCTGAGTAACAAAGTGAAATCCTGTCTCTATAAAAATTTTTTAAAAACTAGCTAGGCATGCTGATGCACATCTGTGGTCTTATCTCTATGGGAGGCTGATGTGGAAGGATTGCTTAAGCCTGGGAAGTTGAGGCTACAGTGAGCTATGACTGCATGACTGCACTCCAGCCTGGGTGACAGAGCAAGACCCTGTCTCAAAAAAAGAAATACATACTGTTGCAAGAGCTTTAAAAACAGTCCAATGAGAGTTCTGGAGGACAGTTCTGGAGAACTAGAAATCCGACATCAAGGTGTCAGCAAGATGAGTTGATTTTTGCTTTTCTTCTTGGGGGGTATTTTTGTCTGCTTTTATTTTTGGAGATGGGGTTGCACAGTCTGGAATGTGGGGTGGCTATTCACAGGCATGATCAAAGCACACTGCAGCCTCCCACTCCTGGTTTCAAGCAATCCTCCTGCCTCAGCCTCCCAATTAGCTGGGACTACAGGCATGCAACACCACACCCAGCAGGAGTTGGTTTCAACCCAGCAGGGCTGGTTTCTTCTAAAGCATCTTTCATTGGCTTGTAGATGGTTATCTTTTCCCTGTGTCTTTACATGTCCTTCCCTATATGTATGTCTATATTGAAATTTCCTCTTCTAAGGACACCAGCGATATTAGATTAGTGCCTTCTTGAATGACCTCATTTTAACCTAATTACCTCTTTTAAGACCCTCTCTACAAATACAGTTACATTTTGAGATACTGGGGGTTAGGGCTTCAACATATGAATTCTAGGAGGACATAACTCAGCCCCTGACAAGATGCTAATCCAGTTCATAGATTTTTAACAGTAAGCATTGGCTTTGCTGATAATGAACGTTATATCAACTCATAAAAAGGTCAAATGATGCAGAAACGAATAAAGTCAGTCCTTAGTAATTATGATGGGATTAAAATTGGAATAAGGCCTTGTCAAGATAGTGTTGCTTTCAGTTCTTAAAAATAAAGTATTTCAGTGACCACTTGATGTTGTGCTCAATGAAAAAAAAGAATAAAAATAAATAAATAATCTCACATTTTTGCATTGTGACAAACCATTTGGCTGTATCAAAATAAATCAATGGGAATGATCAAGCTGAAGAGGCTGTGTAAAAACAGCCAATTTCATCTACTACTAATGAAGCGAATGTGGTTTAGAGAAATAAATAAGATAAATTTTGAATAACAGTTACTTTAGAATGCAGTCAGGGAGGAATGAATAAGAAACTTCAATTGTACTGGTCATTTTATTATTTGTTAAGCTGCATGTTGAGTACACAGCTATTGCATTATTTTTATACCTTATTATAATAATTTTGGTGAAAAAATCCATACCTTCTTGGATTTTTGATGCATAAAATTTGATTTATTTACTTTACAGTAATTTTTCACTGAAGAAGCAATTATTGGCAACATTGATAGTACTCAGAAAAAGAGTTTTAATGTTTCTTGTTTAAATTTACCTTAAATGGGAAAGCCAAACATTTGTTGTTGAAATCTTTATAAGAAAATGTTTTCACAATGACCAATAAAAATGTATTAGCTAGCATATAATTTGGGGTTCTTATCCATATATATATATAGAAAATCATTTTTTAGACAGAGTCTCACTCTATCACCTAGGCTGCAGTACAGTGGCATGATCTCAGTTCACTGCAACCTCCGCCTCCCAGGCTGAAACAATCCTCCCTCTCAGCCTCCTGAGTAGCTGGGACTACAGGTGCACACTGTCATGCTCGGCTAACTCTGCATTATTTGCAGAGATGAGGTTTCACTATGTTGCCAAGACTGATCTTGAACTCCGGAGCTCAAGTGATCTACCCGTCTCGACCTCCCAAAGTGCTGGGATTACAGGCATGAGCCACTGTGCCCGGACTCCTCAACATATTAATTGATTTTGTTGCCCTTAATTTATTTCCATTTTAATTACTGACTTTTTTCCTTTTCTAAAACTCGTTTTATTGAGTCATGATTGACGGGTAAGAAGCGGTGTGTATTTAATGTCTAGAAGTCAATGAGTTTGGGGATAAGTATAAACTTCTATCTTAAATACTTGTATTAAGACTAAAAGTTCAATATGCAAGTGGCAAAATATCTGGGTGTTATAAATAGCACTTAGTAACAGTGTTTGTGGTTTAATATTAAAAAAGAAATGTTTTATTTAACAGTAAAAAAGTTTGATCGGAACGTGCCCAAAAAACCTGCTGTGCCATTGAGGACTGATCATCCTGTCATGGGAATACAGAGTGAAAAAAATTTTATAAATACAAATGCAGCCAATGTCATTATGGGAGTGGCTAAAAAGCCTAAACCAATTTATGTTGATAAAAGAACTGGAGACAAGCATGATCTTGAGCCTTCAGGACTGGTTCCAAAGTACATCAATAAAAAGGTAGCCTTGTCGTATATTAATGAGAGGCCCAAGATTCAAATAATTTAAATATGGTGTTCATAATGGTCGCCTATATTATCATTATTGCTCTCATTGGACACATTGTCTATATTGCTGATTCTCATTCTTCTGCAATCTGTGTTTGGTCCAAATATAATGTGCTGAAGTTACAAAGAACTTGTAGTAAACAATTTCATATAGTTCAGTTGATGAAAGTTATTGTTGTTTTCCTTAATTTCAATTATTAATATATTTAACAATTTTAATAAACATTCTCTGAAAGATATTTTCGGTTAGGTAGAAATGGCACTAAAAGGAATCATTACTGTAAATCTAGAAGGAATAAGCCATCAGATTATCTTAAGATTTAGTCATTAATTGCGGTAACTTGGCAGCTGAATAAGAAAAATGAATGCAGCTTTAGATCCATCCATCTCATCAATATAGTAGAAATAATTCACATTCCTATTTTCACATGAATATGTTTATTTGGTTTTGGTATTGGGTAAAGCCTTGAAAGTACTGTACCATAATCTAGTGCTTTTGGGTCCTTCATTTGTATCTGAAAGGGTGTTTATCAGATAGGCATCTAATTTCACTGGTAAACCTTATAGTTGAAATCTAGATTTTTTTTTTAGATGTATTCTCATGCTGTTGCCAAGGCTGGAATACAGTGGTGCAATCTTGGTTCACTGAAACCTCCAGCTTCTGGTTCAAGTGATTCTCCTGTCTCACCCTCCCAAGTAGTTGGGATTACAGGCATGTACCACCAAGACTGGTTAATTTTTGTATTTTTAGTAAAGAGGGGGTTTCATCATGTTAGCTAGGCTGGTCTCAACTGTTGACTTCAAGTGATCTGCCCACCTCAGCCTCCCAAAGTGCTGGGACTGCAGATGTAAGCCACTGCACCCAGCCAAATATAGATCTTTAAAATAAAAAAGCTTACAAAAAATCTTTTTTAAAAATATATTTTTTAATGCACTTTAGGTTCTGGTGTACATGTGCAGAACATGCAGGATTGTTGCATAGATACATACATGGCAATGTCGTTTGCTTCCTCCATTCCTGTCAACTGTATCTGGCATTTCTCCCCATGTTATCCTTCCCCAACTCCCTACCCCGCACTGTCCCTCCCCAGCCCTCCCAACAGACCCTAGTGTGTGATGCTCATTTCTCTATGTCCACATGTTCTCATTATTCAACACCCGCATATGATTGAGAACATGTGGTGTTTGATTTTCTGTTCTTGTGTCAGTTTGCTGGGAATGATGGTTTTAAAATTCATCCATGTCCTTACAAAGGACATGAACTCATTGTTTTTTATGACTGCATAGTAGTCCATGGTGTATATGTGCCACATTTTCCTTGTCCAGTCTATGACCAGTGGGCATTTGAGTTGGTTCCACGTTTTTGCTATTGTAAACAGTGCCACAATGAACATATGTGTGCATGTGTCTTTATAATATAATGATTTATAATCCTTTGGATATATACCCAGTAATGAGATTGCTGGGTCAAATGGAATTTCTATTTCTAGGTCCTTGAGGAATTGCCACACTGTCTTCCACAATGGTTGAACTAATTTGCACTCCCACCAGCAGTGTAAAAGTGTTCCTCTTTCTCCACATCCTCTCCAGCATCTGCTGTCTCCAGATTTTTTAATGATCGCCATTCTAACTGGTGTGAGATGGTATCTCAATGTGGTTTTGATTTGCATTTCTCTAATGACCAATGATGATGAGTATTTTTTCATATGCTTGTTGGCCTCATGTATGTCTTCTTTTGAAAAGTGTCTGTTCATATCCTTCACCCACTTTTGAATGGGTTTGTTTTTTTCTTGTAAATCTGTTTTAGTTCTTTGTAGATACTGGATATTTGCCCTTTGTCAGATGGGTAGCTTGCAAAATTTTTTTCCCATTCTGTTGGTTGCTGGTTCACTCTAATGTTTGTTTCTTTTACTGTGTAGAAGCTCTGAAGTTTAATTAGATCCCATTTGTCAATTTTGGCTTTTGTTGCCAATGCTTTTGGTGTTTTAGTTGTGAAGTCCTTGCCTATGCCTATGTCCTGAATGGTTTTGCCTAGGTTTTTTTCTAGGGTTTTTATGGTTTTAGGCCTTATGTTTGAGTCTTTAATCCATCTGGAGTTAATTTTAGTGTAGGGTGTCAGGAAGGGGTCCAGTTTCTGCTTTCGGCACGTAGCTAGCCAGTTTTCCCAACCCCATTTATTAAACAGGGAATCCTTTCTCTGTTACTTGTTTTTGTCATGTTTGTCAAAGATCAGATGGTTGTAGATGTTTGGCATTGCCTCTGAGGCCTCTGTTCTGTTCCATTGATCTACATCTCTGTTTTGGTTACCATGCTGTTTTGATTACTGTAGCATTGTAGTATAGTTTGAAGTCTGGTAGTGTGATGCCTCCAGCTTTGTTCTTTTTGCTTAGAATTGACTTGGCTATGTGGGCTCTTTTTTGGTTCCATATGAAGTTAAGGTGGTTTTTTCCAGTTCTGTGAAGAGGGTCATAGGTAGCTTGATGGGGATAGCATTGAATCTTTAAATTATTTTGGGCAGTATGGCCATTTTCACAATATTGATTCTTCCTAACCATGAGCATGGAATGTTTTCCCATCTGTGTCCTCTCTGATTTCCTTGAACAGTGGTTTGTTGTTCTCCTTGAAGAGGTCCTTACATTCTTTGTTAGTTGTATTCCTAGGTATTTTATTGTCTTTGTAGCAATTGTGAATGGCAGTTCATTCTTGAGTTGGCTCTCTTTAAGTATATTATTGGTGTATAGGAATTTTACATACTTATAAAGCTTAAAAGTGCTTGAAATGCACAAAATATGAATGCAGTCTGGGCACAGTGGCTCACACCTGTAAACCCAGCACTTTGGAGGACAGGGCAGATTGCTTGAGATCAGGAGTTCAAGTCCAGCCTGGCCAACATGGTGACACCCCCATCTCTACTAATAATACAAAAATTAGCCAGGCATGGTGGCATGTGCCTGTAATCCTAGCTACTCAGTGGCTAAGGCACAAGACTCACTTGATCTTGGGAGGCCAGGTTTGCAGTGAGCCAAGTTTGCATCCCTGTACTCCAGCCTGGGTGACAGAGCAAGATCCTGTGTCAAAAAAAAAAAGTGCAAATTCTAAAGAATAATAAGTTGCAACAAGAAGAAATGAAGGAAGAGAGGGAAAAAGGAAAGGAAAAATGAGAGAAGAGAGGAGAAAAGAAAAAAAAAGAAGAAAAAAGAAATTGCAATAGTGATGTACAGGGGTCTTGAATCGAAGAGCCCAATGATCTACCATGATAAATCCAATGCCAGGTGAAAATCAAAACCGGAATCTCCAAGCTGTTTTCAGAGGACACTGTCTTCTCAGGAATCTACGAGTTGGCAGGATAAGCCAATAAAGTTACGTCAGGCTTCTCCAGGTACTTCCTCCTTCTGTGGCCTCTGGAAACTGTTTTATAGTCCTTGTCCCATAGGATGGGGAAAAGTAGAAAACTCACTCTCCTGGCCTTTAAAGCCATTTCTAATCCATTATTTCTCCACGATCATATGTAAAGTATTTGATGGTCATGACACCACCTGTCACACGCTGTGCCTCTCCTTCTGGCTGCTCTCTAAGCTGTCCACTTTAATGCATTTTCTACCATGAGCATGGAACAGGCAATTTGAACAGGAAATTTGGAGCACCTATCATGGAAACAGAAAAATACCAGATCTACCTATGTTTGTTTACCAAGCCATGAAACAACTGTGCACCTAACGTCCTTTTGGTGTTGCTGACTAAGCAATCAGTGATCATTAAAGATTTATTCAATTTACTTTTCTCTTATCAGAGTTAAGTTTTAAAGATCTATTATCTGGTCAGGCACAGTGGCTCATGTCTGTAATTCCAGCACTTTGGGAGGCCTATGCAGGCAGATCAAAGCTCAGATCAAGACCATCCTGGCTAACATGATGAAACCCCATCTCCACTAAAAATAAAAAAAAAAAAAAAAAATTAGCCAGACATGGTGGTGTGCGCCTATAGTCCCAGCTACTGAGGAGGCTGAGGCAGGAGAATTGCTAGAACCCGGGATGCAGAGGTTGCAGTGAGCCAAGATCATAACACTGCATTCCAGCCTGGGTGACAGAGCGGACTCCATCTCAAAATTTAAAAAATGATGAATTATTGATAGGTGAGATAGTAAATAAATTCTTTTAAAGGCAATGTCATATTTTTATAAAATGAGTAAACTCATGTTTTAGTTCCAAGTGAATTTTATACCATTCATACCATGAGAAACAATTTCTGGAAACAAACAAGGATAGATGATCACATGAAGTATTCAGCAATAGTAGTAAAGACACCATTTCAGATTCTAACTCTGCCACTTAGTAACTGTGATTTCCAACCGTTCATTGCATTTATCACAGGATTGTAGAGAGAATTAAATAATATAAAGTATATTGACCACTTGACACAAAATGTGACACATAGTAAAAGAAAAAGGAGTGAATATATTATAATATATGCAATTTTATTAACAGTATGCATTAGCCTTTGGTGATTCAGCCCATAGGAATATTTCAAATCAATAAAGCTTTGGCTCATTTGTGATTTTTTTAAGGAACTGTATCATGCCATTCCTTTTTTTTTTTTTTTTTTTCATGCCATTCCTTTTTTAAAAAAATTAATCACTGTCAGTCCTTGTGAAAAAATAAATTAATTAATTTTTTTTAAAGATGGGAGTCTCACTATGTTGCCCAGGCTGGTCTTGAACTTTTGGGCTCAAGAAATTCTCCTGCCTAGGTGTCTCAAAGTACTGGGGTTACAGGCATGAGCCCCTGTGCCCAGTCATTCTCTTTCTTAAACAGAGTATGCCAAATATAATTTAATCTTTTTGTGATCCTGCAGAATCATCATGATGAGGCTCCATTATTGTACTAAGCTGTAATGAGGTGTTTCCCGAAGTGGGTTGGCCTGCCTCACTGCACCAACTGACCAGAATACTGGGCTCCCAGAGTTTATTTGTATTGTCCTCTGCAGCTTCCAGAACACATTTATATCTAGGATTTCTATCCCTTGTTCAGTCAGGATGGGTTAAGTTACGCTGTGATGACAACCCCCAAACTTCAGTAACTTAAAGCAACATGGTGTTATTGTTTGCTTTCGCCACATGCCCTTTGAGGGTTGTTAGAGGCTCTGCTTCTTGTTGTCCTTCTCTCAGGACCCAGAAAAGCTAAACATTGCTTGCCACTAGACCAGACAGGAAAAGACACAGCAAGTCATCCACTCGTTCTTCAGGCTTCTATCCAGAAGTGACCGAGGTCACCTCCACTGACATTGAGCAAGTCAGGTCATATGGCCTCATTTTACTTTATGAGGACAACATGGGGAAGAGTTTCCTACCAAGTGTCCAGAAGGAGAACAGAATATTTGTCAATATTTTACTGACTAGCATACCTCCTTCCAACTGCTGCTTTTTCAGAGAGTTTTCCCCCAACCTCCTTGTTTATCTAAAATAGCCCTGACTATTTTCTTTGCCCTCACTATCCTTTTTTTTTTTACTTCAGAACAGATACATATTATTTCATGTTCTATTTTTATTTTTGTTGAGTCAGTCACCATAGAATGCAAATTCCATGAAGACAGAAACTTTGCCTTATTGACTAGTATACCTAGCACCAAGTACATTCTCAAATATTTTTTGAAGAAGGAATAACATAGTAGTTCGGTTTCTCTGGACAGTGGAATCAAACGCATTTACTAAACTGAAGAAAACACAGCTGATTGCTTCACTGTCAGTCCTTATTCCCCTCGCAGGGCGTGCGATAGGGGCGTGGCTCACTTATTGGTGCTCCGCCACTCATACCTCTAGGGGGAGCAAGCAGACGGGCAGGCTGTGGGGCTCCGGCTCCACAGCATTGTCTGTGGGTGAGTGTTTACGGCTCCTGAAGCCCCAGGGGGCGCTTGTTTCAGGGCGCTCTTTTAGTTTAGCTGTCCACAGGCGGCTTGTGTTAGCTCAGTTAGAGCCCCGCTTTATCACAAGGACAGAGGGCTTCCAGAGGGCTTTCTGTATCCCAGGATTCTTGCCTTGGTGTGCTGAAAGAATCACATGTGGGCTTGGAGAATGGCCGCGAGGGTTTTGGTTTGGTTTGGTTTTTGTTTTGTTTTGTTTTGCTTTGAGACGGAATTTCGTTCTTGTTGACCTGGCTGGAGAACAAGGGCGCTATCTCTGCTCACCGCAACTGCTGCTTCCCGGGTTCGAGCGATGCTCCTGCCTCAGCCGCCGAGTGCAAGGTTTTATTGAGTGGAAGTAGCTCTCAGTAGATGGGGGGAGCCAGAAGGAGATGGTTTTTCCCTGGAGCCAGGCGGCTCAGTGGCCCCAGCTCTCCTCTGACTACCCCGGCCAAACCACGTTGTTCCACAGGTCGATGGCCCGCAGGCATGCCGATGCCCATCGGTGTGCTCCTGTCAACGGCCTCCACTGTGCGTTCTTCCACCGATGTGTTCCTCTCGACGGCCAGTCACTTGTGTGCCTGCCTGGTAGGGTCTCGGGGGATTTTATAGGCCCAGGATGGGGGAGTGACAGGCCAGGGTGGTCTTGGGAAATGCAACATTTAGGCGGGAAAACAGAAATGCCTGTCCTCACCTAGGTCCATGGGCACAGACTGGGGATGGAGCCCTCACCAGGGACCCCACTCTTCTGTACCCAGCACTTCCCTGCCTGCCTTCCATAGCACTTAAGCAGCCCAGGAGCTACACCTGTCTTTTTTTGGAAAAAGGAACCTCAGAGTCCCAAGTCAATTTCCTCTTAAAGCTGATATTCTTGGTATATTTTAAGCATTTCTTTTTATAATGTTTTGGAAGAGCTTGTCTTTAACAAGACCACAAAAATATAGACTTCAAAATATTCAACATATTTCAGGTAAAAACTGAAGATTATAAAAGGTAGAAATGCTAACTCTGAGTATCTTATTCAAGATATTTCAGGTAAAAAACAAAGAACATGGAAGGTAGAAAAGCCAACTCTTAGGAGTAAAGTGTCATCTAAAAACAGGTGTGGGAAACATTCAGAAAAGGAAAAACGAGCAACGACAACTCCTATTTATTTATTTAGAGATGGAGTCTCACTCTGAAACCCAGGCTAGAGTGCGGTGGCTCCATCTTGGCTCACTGTAACCTCTGCCTCCTGGATTCAGGAGATTTTTGTGCCTCCGCCTCCTGAAGAGCTGGGACTACAGACACGCACCACCACGACTGGCTATTTTTTGTATTTTTAGTAAAGACAGGGTTTCACCATGTTGCCCAGGCTGGTTTGAATTCCTGACCTCAAGTGATCCGCCCCACTCAGCCTCCCAAAGTGCTGAGATTACAGGTGTTAGCCACCATGCCCAGCCAATGACAACTCCATTTTAAAAGGCAGGAATCTACTAGCTCTCAACAGTGGGGGAAAAATCATTGAATTCTGTCAATTTACAGGGTTCTGAGCAAAGGCTTTCTGTACCATTTCTTTTTCTCCCATCATTGGTGGATACATACACACACATAAGATTGCATGCAGAATACTGATTACTTGGCTGGGCGCAGTGGCTCACGCCTGTAATCCCAGCACTTTAGGAGGCTGACGCGGGCAGATCATGAGGTCAAGAGATGGAGACCATCCTTGCCAACATGGTGAAACCCCGTCTCTACTAAAAATACAAAAATTAGCTGGGCATGGTGGGGGATGCCTATAATCCCAGCTACTCTGGAGGCTGAGGCAGGAGAATCACTTGAACCCGGGAGGTGGAGACTGCGGTGAGCTGAGATAGCACCACTACACTTTAGCCAGGGTGACAGAGTGAGACTCTGTCTCAAAAAAAATATATATTGATTACTTTTTTCTGCAAAATCTTTTTAGGATTATGGTGTCACACCTGAATACATATGTAAGCGAAACGAGGAAATAAAGAAAGCCCAAGAAGAATATGATCATCATATTCAGGAAAACCTTAAGAAAGCAGCTATGAAAAGGGTCTCTGATGACGAAAGGGAGGCGATTCTGCAGGTGTGTGTTCTGCAGTTTACATTCCTCTGTAACTCTTTGTAATATCTCTGAAAGAAAGGTGTACCAGCACCTTGATGATTAAAGCCAGCACTTTCTGAAATCAGAACAATATCTTTTGGTTACAGTGAAAAACTACATGCAGCAAAGCTGACTCTTTGGAGAGAGCAAAAAGTTGTAAAATTGGGATTCATCAAATAATATTTTATTTCCAATTTGGTGAACTGTTTTGTTCCTGAGCTAGGGTTGTAAGAAAGCCTACCTTCCTCTACAGTGAACTCACATGAATAAGGCAAATAAAGCCTTTTCATTTCTATGCCTCTGAGTTTGTAAAAAAATAATATTCATAAATTAGATATTTTTCACTAGATGGAGCTCTAGAATAATTGAAACTCTCCTTAAACCAACTTTTTTTTTTCTTTGCTATAAGCCAGATGTCCAAAATTTTAAATAAACAGGTGTGAGGTTTCACATATGTTTTTCTTGTTTTGAATTAAATAGACTTAAAGATATATTTATATTGGATTTTTAAATGCAGGACTTTTATCTGAAGCATTTAAAATATTAAGGGGCGTGAGCAGGGTTTCTGCTTTATTATTGGCACCTCTTTGTACTTTTTATAGTCATACTATCTCTTAAAGAAATAATACTTCTTTGGTTTTTTTTATTTTGAAAGCATCCTACAAAACCATTTCTAGTGTCTTATTAATCTCTGCTGAAAAATGGATTCATATGCTATCACAGATTTTTAACATGTTATCAATGTCAGAATCATCATAAACGTTTCTTAAATGCCAAACCCTGAGGATATTTTAAAAGGCATAAGATTTTTTTAAAAGTCTGCTATGGAGAATTGTGCAATTTAATTGGTGAGAGGTACTTTGGATCTGTGTACATGTATAGATGTGAATGTGTGTATGTGTGCGGCTCCTAAGTTTCATAAGGGTCCAAGGCGCTAGTCACCCTGGAGGATTATAGATCTTTAGCTGGGCCTGAAAATGTACAGTGACAGCACATCCCAGACAGTAGGAGTGGCTGAAAGGCAAGGGTGGTGTCTCTTTGCTGACAGCAGCATCCCCTGTGCCTAGCGCAGTGCCCAGTGAAAACGCAGATGTTCAGAAATGGTCTGCTGTAAAAGAGAAGGCAGACAGGCAGGAAGGAAGGCTGGCAGACATGGAAGTGAGAATTGGCATGTCATTTTCAGGGGGAGTTCTGGTCTGTGGCCCATTCTGTCTCTCTCGTCTTGATTTTCCCATTTTCAGAAAGTACGTGCCTTTGTGAAAGCCAGGTTTTTACACCTAAATGATGCTGAAAAATAGGAATATAATATAGAAATTAGAAGTGACAGGTCCTTCCCTTCTGTGTCTTTTTGGATGTAGGAGATAAGCAGTCCTCAGCTTCCTATTATGGTCACTACAGAGCTACTCTTTGATGTGACAATAGCAAATCCTCCACTGGATGCCTTATGAGCCAGAGAGCGGAGCTGCCATAGTAACGAAGCCACTGGCTGGCCTCCTGATGAGCCCTGAGCCACACTTCCTTCCCTGGGCAAGAGTCGCATGTAGTTCTATGACAATCTGGTTGTATATCCCTCAGTAAGCCACATTCTGCTCATTCTTCATAAAATAACAGTCTCATTATACCTGGACAGAATCATATACTCTAATGATTACAAACTTCTCATTTTTAAATGAGGACTATATATATATATGGAATGAATAATAATAATATATATTTATACGCTGTCAGTCTACATTTTCAGGCCAGCTAAAGAACTATAATCCTCCAGTGGTGACTAGTGCCTTGGAACCTTGTGAAACTTAGGAGCTGCACACATACACACATTCATATCTATATATGTGCACAGATCCATAGTACCTCTCACCAATTAAATTGCAAAATTCTCTATACATATTTTATATATATAAATTATATATAACACATATATATATAAATAAATTTTATTTGTATATTATATATATATGTTCTTTTTTTTTTTGAGATGGAATCTTGCTCTGTCACCCGGGGTTGGAGTGCAGAGGCATGATCGTGGGTCACCGCAACCTCCACCTCCCAAGTTCAAGTGATTCTCATGCCTCCGCCTCCCAAGTAGCTGGAATTACACATGCACACCACCACGTCCACCTAATTTTTTTGTATTTTTTAGTAAAGATGTGATTTTGCCATGTTGCCCAGGCTGGACTTGAACTCCTGGCCTCAGGTGATCCACCCACCTCGGCATCCCAAAGTGCTGGGATTACAAGTGTGAGCCACTGTGCCCAGCCCGTAATACAGATATATTAAGTGGGCCCCTTTATATATTCATTTATTTATGACATCTACTGTGTTCCAGCCAGAGAGATACTGTAAAGAGAAAAATAAACACAGTCCTCAGTGTCAGTGAACTTAGAGTTGGCTTTCATTTGCCATTGGTCACAGAACTATCAAGTGCATCAATAGGGACTAAAACTCATTTACCAAATGCTGGGCTGGTGTTTCCCCCACTACAGAACACATACATGCAGAGGAGGTAACAAAGGGAGGCTGCATGGGTCTGGACTCTAGTAGGAAATCAAAGGCACACTAAGCTGGCACTTGGAAGAGAATTTATGTTTGTTTATTTTATGTATTTATTTGACACAGTTTTACTCTGTTGCCTAGGCTGGAATGCAGTGGCATGATCACGGCTCACTGCTAGCTGGAACACCACCTTGCCTGACTGATTTTTTTGAATCTTCTATTTTTTTATTTCAATTTTTTATTTTTAGAGAGGTAGTTTCACTATGTTGCCCAGGCTGGTCTCAAATTCCTGGCCTCAAGCAATCCTCCTCCCTCAGCCCCAAAGTGCTGGGATTACAGGCATGAGTGGTGGCCACTGAAGAGAATTTATGAAGGAACTACTGACAGAAGTGCAGTAAGGTTAAGGGAACCAACAAGGAACACTGAGGCACCCCAGGAGTAAGGACAATGGGAATTCACCACCACCTAGGCTTGAAGGGCAGCAGGCACAAGCAGCAGTGTTCGCAGAATCCACTGAGAGCTGGAGCTGGGCTGAGGGTCACAGTCACAGATGAAGGCAGTGAGAACCAGTGTCCAGACAGTGTCCTAGGAGAGAAGGAGAAATGCCCCAGCTGCACACTTCTCCCTCCAGGGCCTTCTGTGGCTGAACTCAGGCCAGAGGGTGAAAGAGCTGGGAGCACCCCACAAGGTGGGGAATGTTTGGGGGTGGGCAAGAGTACAAAAGGAGCATGGAACTAAAATCACTTATAAGATCACTTCTCCCTGTGATTTTTTTCCAAAATGAACAATATTATTCTAGCATTAAAATAGAAGAGAGGAAAGTTAAGAAATAAAAATAAGGGAAAATAGCAATTGGTGCAACACATGAAATATCTTTTTAGATGAAATAACCAAAAAAACACCTCTTAAAGGCAGCAAGTAGCCTATTTCAATATAATATGAACTATCAGCTACATTTGGTTTCCGTCCCCAGCTGTTGACTTTGATCCAAACATTATTGTACACACTGGAAGATAAAAGCAAACTATCCTTTAAAAGAAAATACAGAGAAAAGCTGTAGCTGCTGTGACTGCAAGTAATATGGAAATATCACCCAACTAGCTATGAAAAACCTTTGATATCCGCAAGTGTATAAATACATAGACTTCCTCTCTGCAGCAGACACCCCTGTGGAGCACTGTGGGAACCTATTTCACATTTCATAATGAAAGACTGGAGAAATAGAATTCTTTTGAGGGCTTCCTTTTGGAATACATCGCACACATTATCAAGAACTGTGTAGCCTCCTCTTTTTAAAAGTTAACCTGGATACTTCTTCCATCCTTCCCCTTTCCCAGATTCTTAGCTTATTCAAGAAGGCCTCATAATTTGTTGCCTTTTTCCCCAACCAACCTATTCTATACAGTGTGCCCCGACCTGTCATCATCTTTTATCTAAGCATGGGAAAAAATTATTGAAATATTATTGTCCCTGAAAGTTTCTACAATATTAAATTTGTACCAGGAGAGCTTACAATGAAGGCATTATTATATGAGACACTTCTGATCCTCTTTTACAACTAAATGTATGTCCAGTATTTTAAATTTTGGGGTTTTTGGTTTTGGTTTTGGTTTCAGCCTCCCAAAGTGCTGGGATTACAGGTGCAAGGCAACACTTTTGGCCTAGTGAAATCTTTCATAAGACTATTTTTTTATTTATGAGATGGAGTCTCACTCTGTTGCTCAGGCTGGAGTGCAGTGGTGCAATCATGGCTCACTGTAGCCCTCAACTGCCTGAGCTCAGGTGATCCTCCCACTTCAGCCTCTCAGGTAACTGGGACTACAGGGGCATGCTACCTCACCTGGATAATTTTTTTGAATTTTTTGTAGAAACAGAGTTTTGCTGTGTTGCCCATGCTGGTCTCAAACTCCTGGGCTCAAGCAATTCACCTGTCACGGCAGTATCTTAAATTGCACTTTCTGTTTGGCTTTTGTGTAAATAAAATAATCTATGTACCCATAATGAATAATTTAAAAAGCTGACTTAGAAAATTTTATTGAATTAATTTAATTAGTAGTTTAAGACCATTTTGACTGTGGAGCCCATAGGGCACTGTGAAAAGAGATGACAATTATGCAGAAACAGAAATAAGCTTTATTGCTCCTAAGAGATCCCTAATTTTGAATTTGTTGATTTCTGAGAATATAAAATGTTAGCTACATCATTGAATTAGCATGTGTGTTACATTTAATGACCTTTCAATCATTTATATAATACATCAATGGGAAATATGGATCCCTTGACTATATGGAGAGCAATTGGTTCTTTCTAAGATATTGAAAAGGCACTGACCATGCACATCAGAATTAGGTCTTTTGATGTGATTTCTCTGTTGAAGAATGAGGATAAAAAAGAAAATTTTACAAAACAATTTGCTGCTCAAAAATGTTTTTGATTCAGGGGTATCATTTTATGTTGTTTTTTGCCCACGCATTTGCTATGAGCTTAGCTCCACGCTCCTCATAACTCTGCATGTACGTTTTTGATGGTTAAAAACAAGTACAGTAACAACAAAAACAGGGCAAACAAATACTCCCAGTGGGAACTGAACACACAGTCAAGGATGGGATTTGGCCTTCGTACAGTGTTTTTGGTTACTGTGGCCAAGTAGTTGATAAATACGTTCCATTTTAGACGTAACTGTCAGTTTCCTTTACTTACTGACATTGTTCATTACGGATTAACTTTTCCAATTTCCTTTACTTTTGCCATTTGCTTTGGTATTTACAAGTTTCTCTCCCATTTGCAGGGGCTGAAAAAGAACTGGGAAGAGGTGCATAAAGAGTTCCAGTCCCTCTCAGTCTTTATAGATTCCATACCAAAGAAAATCCGCAAGCAGAGGCTGGAAGAAGAAATGAAGCAACTGGAACACTACATTGGTGTAATTGAAAAGCACAAAATTATTTATATTGCCAATAAGTAAGAACGGATCTTTAAAGTATAGAGATTTCAATGTAGGAGAAAAAATGGAAAATATCAAAATAAAACTACATTTTTCATAAAGGAAAATACTACTAAGGGAATAAAAATAGTCTTAATCAGAATGCTTAGGCAATGTGCAAAGAAAAATTGAGTTATTTACTTACACAAGAAAAAATGTTGTTTTTACTAGTGTTTTCCACATATAAACTATTCAAGTTTGAGACTATGCTTTCCAGTTCCCTAATGTAATTCATTATTATTATGTACTTGTTTCACATACACATTAATTTCTAGACCCTGAAAATAAAGTCAGCACTTAGAACTTCAAATTGTTTTTTTTTTTTTTCTGCAGTGCATGATCCAAACAGCACAACTTTGAAAAGTGTTAAGTATGTTGAACTGGAAATAGAAACGTGCCTTCTTACTACTATAAAGTGTCTCCAACGCATTGTTTCTGAGCTCCACAAATGCAAAAGATGTATTTTCTGGTGACCCATGACATTTATAGTTATTCCCAATGATAAATATTTTCAGTATTCATAACACTGTAGATGATGAAAGGCTTCTAATTTGTAGGAAGAAAAATTAAGAAGACTACTTACAAAATCAAGAGGACGACTTGTAAAAGGCACCACGGAGGCTGGCGATGGAGAACAGCCTCCTTTCTGGCATACCAACTTTGATAGTCTTGTTTTATTCCACAGCTCACTATGCAAATCTTATTTAGATATGTATTTTTTTCTTTTGGTCCTTTCTACTTATCGATTTTGTGAATTCTAACTCTAATCACTTATAAGATTACATTTTGATTTTGAGATAGAGTCTCACTCTGTCGCCCAGGCTGGAGTGCAGTGGCACAATCTCAGCTCACCGCAACCTCCGCCTCCCAGGTTCAAGCAATTCTCCTGCCTCAGCCTCCTGAGTAGCTGGGACTACAGGCGTGCACCACCACACCTGGATAATTTTCATATTTTTTAGTAGAAACGAGGTTTCACCATATTGAACAGGCTGGTCAACGAACTCCTGACCTCAGGTGATATGCCTGCCTCAGCCTCCCAAAATGCTGGGATTACAAGCATGAGCCACCACGCCCAGCCAAGATTACATAATCTATTAAGCAATAAGTTTATATTAATGGAGCTGTTTTCATCCCAAATTAAGAAAAATAGCTCTAAATATCTAAGAGGAAAAGGTTATTTTATAAGTTTTAAATTAGAAAAATTTGGTAAAATATATGCAACCATAAAATAGCAGATAAATAACAGTTCCTACGCTTACACTGGTTTTTATCCTCTGGACAACATAATAAACAAAATATGAGAGTCTTTTGAACTTTTTTTCACACAGAATTTGGGAGCCTTATAGAAAAGCTTATTTTTGGTTACTTAAAGAAAAATAGTTTATATGCAATTATTTTTTGAAAATTCACTTGAAACTTGTCTGTATGAGTCTCTTTTTTTTATTCCTTTATTGACTTAGGGCAGATATAAAATAAAGGATAATATGTGATAAATGCTTACTTATCAAGAATGGTTGGTTGTTATTCAGGGTAGACTAACAGCTATGACAATGCACTCCAATACGTATAATTACATAAACAGAAATTCCTTTTTTGCCGACATAACTGTATTTTGCTGTGAGCAGGTCAGGAGCAACCCTTTTCTGCAGTCACTCAGGGACCCAGACTCACAGAGTGGGTAGCATGCATCGGATCCAGAGTTAGGGAGAGCCACGTACGGGCCAGGCCTAGAAATGGTGCATATCATTCCCGCTTGCATCACTAAGTAAGCAACTTAAGTTGCTTTAACAAACTAACTCCAAATCTTGGTTGCCTGATTCAGATACATTTTTCATTTATATTACTGTGCCATGTGACAAAGGGTGGAGGTACAACTCTCTTCCATGCAGTCACTCAGGGACCCAGTCTCTTTCTGTCTGGTGGCTCTGTTGATCCAGCCAGCCTTTCTCTGACAGTTTAGGATGAGATGTTTAGGTTAGCATTTTATTTGTGAGATGATTGCTATGCATACACATTTTTAAATAATTCAAAATCAGTAGCAATGCACACATATTCTACTTACTTCAGCCTTATGGATATTATGCTTTGAAGTCATCAGTGGGAGTTGCCTTAGTAGTTAAAAAGAAAACTTTGTGGTTTTAACAGATAATTCTTCTTTTGCTTTCTGTAAATGTCTATTAAAGAATTTAGACTTTTCTCCATGGCCCACAGTGTTGTCCTAGATGGACTTTGTTGCCTTTCTTTCACACAGCCTACAGAGGGAAACATTCCCATCCACTGATTCTAGGAGGGTGATTTCTACCATGGAATCCCAACCTTGGATAGAGCCAGTGCAACCTCCCCTAATTCATATACACACATACCTGGGTCATCCTATCAGCCAGAAGAGGGACAAACACCTGACTTGGACAGCTGGCCAGTGACTGATCAGATTCCCTCTCTTGAGAGCATGAATTAAGAGACATGTAGACTGCAGTCACCTGGCAGTGGATACCTGAAACTAAAAGGTCAAACTTCATTATGCAGCTAGTTTGACTTGTTTTCTCTTTCTGTTCAAAAGAAGAACGGGTAGAATAAAGATTTGATGTGGCCTGGCCCCTTGCCTATGATCTTTTTAGCTTCATTTCTTGAAACGCTGCTTCTTCCCTACCCACTGTAACTGACGTTCCATAGTACTGAGGTACTAGAGACTTCTCAGATCTGCACACATGGTTTCCTCCACCCAGAAAACTGCCCCTTTCTCTCATCCTATGTAGCTACCTGGCAAATCCCTAGTCTTTCTCAGCTCACATCACATTTCCATAACAATCCTCTTTGATTCCTCAGATTCTGACCTTCCTTTATAGCACTGGTCATATTGTATTGTGCATATCTGGTTATTTGCCTGTTTTCCATGAAATTGCAAGCTCGTGAAGAGAAGGTACTGTGTATTTTTTCATCTGCATTCCCTAGAATCTGCAAAACAGTTGGTATAGAGAAGGTACTAAAAATAATCCTTAATGAATACAGTAATGAACTGTACCCAAACGTATTTTAATGGTCTTTTGACATTATTATCATGACATAAATCAGACTTGGAGGATAGAGAATTTGGCTGCTAACCAAACTGGTTGATCACATACCAATCAGTTAATATATAATCAACGTAGGAGGAGACTGTTTCACATGGTGCTTAAGAGCTCAGGTACTGGAGTCAAGCAGCCTCAGGTTTGCATTCCAGCTCAGCTGCTTACTGACTGTGCTACGTACAACCTTTCTAAGCCATGTTTTCCTTTCCTGTAAATGGGGTTGCTAACCCATTCATGATCTATAGAGTTATGATGAGAATGAATGGCACAATATGTGCATAACAGCGTAGTCCCTGGTATGCAGAAAGGCAATGAACTTAATACTATGACTTGTTATTAAGAACTCTCTTTCAATTCCATAGTCCTTTTGTCCAGTTGGTGCTAGACCCATTAGCATATTTCCAATAGACATTCCCAGAAATAAAATCTGGTTGCAAGAAAGGACTTGATTGAACCACTTAGAAGTTCTAGCCTGAGAATAGCCTAGCCTGGTTAATCTCTTCAGTGGCACACACAGATGATAACTATATTTGGTAACTTTTATCTCTAGTAACTGGCAAAAATTTGGCAATCCTTCCTAAGTTACTCAGCACAGGCATTCCAAAAAGAAAGATAAGCTTCAATCAGTAATGATAGAAAGACACTGAGGAGAAAGGTCTGCAAGGTTGTTGTGTCCAACAAAGCCTCATGGGTGATATTTATTAGTGAATCAGTGTAGCCCTGGACTTGACCTGAGGGCCCATGCTTCACGGTTCTCAGGAACTCAGAGTCAGATGCATATGAATTAAAGTCTATGTGAGCCTGAGTTATTGCCTGGACATTGATTTTTTAATTAAGAAATACCTCTCAGCTAAATAAATCCCCATAATCAGTGCATTCTGTCCCAGTTGTCAAGCCATGTGGGAAAATAAATTATAATCAAAAGGTACTTTGGGTCAGGTGCAGTGGCTCACACCTGTAATCCCAGACTTTGGGAGGCTGAGGTGGGTGGATCGCTTGAGGTCAGGAGTTCAAGACTAGCCTAGCCAACATGGTGAAACCCTGTCCCTACTAAAAATACAGAACTTAGCTTGGCATGGTGGTGCACACCTATAGTCTCAGCTACTCAGGAGGTTGAGGCAGGAGAATCACTTGAACCCAGTAGGCAAAGGTTGCAGCAAGCCAAGATGGTGCCACTGCACTCTAGCCTGAGCCAGATGTCATCACAAACAAACAAAAAACACCCAACAGGTACTTTGGCTAAAACAGAGTCACAAGAAAAAAGAAATTTAGATTGTTTTATAAAAAGCCTGTCAGCTGACATAACTCACTCATTGTCATCCAACCCATATTGACTCTCTGCTATGTGCCAAGAACTGTTCTAGTTGCTGGGCGTGTAATGATGAACAAAATAGCTATGTTGGAAAGACAGAAATAATCACACAAATATAATGCATTTATAATTAGAAATTGAAATTGGTGTTTTGAAAGAAAAAAAAATAGGACGCTCTGCAAGAGGATACCAAGGGAATCCTAAATCAGATTTTGTAGAATCTGACATTTTATTTTATTTTATTTATTAATTTTTTTTTTGAGACAAAGTTTCGCTCGTTACCCAGGCTGGAGTGCAATGGTGCAATCTCGGCTCACTGCAACCTCCGCCTCCTGGGTTCAGGCAATTCTCCTACCTCAGCCTCCTGAGTAGCTGGGACTACAGGCACACACCACCATGCCAGCTAATTTTTTGTATTTTTAGTAGAGACAGGCTTTCACCATGTTGACCAGGATGGTCTCGATCTCTCGACCTTGTGATCCACCTGCCTCGGCCTCCCAAAGTGCTGGGATTACAGGCTTGAGCCACCGTGCCCAGCTAGAATCTGACATTTTAAATGAGACTGAGGAATTAGTGGAAGTTGGGAAAAGTTGAGAAGAAAAGGGTTGCAGAGGGGAAAGAATTCCAAGCAGAGGGAGCAGAATGTGTGAAGGATCTGGGGCAGGAAACCCTTGATGGATAGGCAAGGCATCCATGGGACTGGAATGAACTTAGAAAAGGGGAGAAAGGTGAAGCTGAAGATGAGAAGGAAAGCAGGCACCACTGACATGTTTTAAGCAGAGAGGTGGCACGAGGCAATCAGTATTTGTAAATTATCATTTGCTACACGGACCGGAGAAGATCAGATGTGGATGGGGAGACTAGTTGGTAAAGAACACAGTGGCACAGACCAAGGCTGTAGTGGTACAGATTAAAGAGTAGCTGTAGGTTTCGAGAAATATTTAGGAGGTGAAAATATAACTTGGTGAAGGACTGAAAGAAGGAAGAGGGAAGTTTCAAGGTTCACCACCAAATTCTGATTTGAGCAATGGGCAGGAGGGCAGTAGCATTGGGGGTGGTGGCTGCCACTTTCTGAACTGGGGAAACCTAGGGAAGGAGGAGTTTAAGGGAAGATATGGTGAAGAGATCAAGAATATGACTTTCAACCTATTAGGCTTATGACAATTGTGGAAATTTAGATCAAGAGACGGGAAGATAGATTGAGAAATTCAGATCAAAAGAGATGTGGGGTAGAGCTGTCTGTTTGGGGATTCATCCGTGTGAATGAGATCACCTTGGACAAAGTGAGATGGCAACGAAAATGAGTTCTCAGCAACTGTACCATTTAGAGGGCAGGTGGGAGAGGAGTCAGTAGGTGAAAGACCAAAACAATAAAAGTTCAGTTTCCAGAAAGGTCAAAAGAAAACCAAAAGGCCAAGAAAATTCAAGAAAGGAGCACCTTTTCCCTAAAGTAGATCCTTAACAATTAAAATGATACCTTCAACACTCTGGCCAAGGCTTTCTCCTGGCTCCGAGCTAGACAAAGGTCAACATCTACACCGGCACCCTGGCCTCTGTTTCATTATGTGTAGTCCAAACTCTCCCACTGAATCCTTTTCTCTCTCTAGATATGTTAATGCCATGAATACCAGCCACAACATTAGCATGGGACCCACCATGCCTGTTAACACCATCCACAGTAAGATAGTTCGAACGCCAGATTGAAGGAAACTTTTCAACAGGCCAAGGAAAGTTTTCAGCAGTTAAGGGGACCAATAGCATCATAAGTAACTCTCAAGAGAACAATCTAATTTTGCTACTTTCCATGTTCTTGGTAAACCTCAGGAGATTTATTCATAAATACTGGTTACTCTAAGTGAGAGACAAACATAGATCAGGGGAAAAAAAGAGCAAGATAATTTTTCTGGAGGGTTAGGTTTTTTTTCCTGCTGAAATGTGCTGTGGTTTAAAAAAAATCAGCAGGTCTGACTGGCAGCAAGTTATGTAACTTTTGGAAAAATCACTTAATGAGCCTTAGCCTTATTTTTCTTATCTGTAATACAAAGAAACTGAACCAGATTCTATCCAACCCTCCTTCTAGTCCTAATGGTCTGTAACTATAAAACTCTGTGACGATTTCAACTTAGTGCAAACAAGGGTTTGATGTCCAAACTGATCAGAATTCAGGAAAGCTCCAGTGGATAGAGAACCAATGATTTGCACCAACACATATCAACCCAAGAACATCAGCTGACATACTAGAAAGAATGCAAAAGTACTAGAAGTAAAGCAAAAACTGTCACTAATTTTTCAGTCTTTTCAGATGAAAACTTTCTTAATAACAATCATTTGAGGTTTTCAACCACAGATTCTTCCTCTTCTAAAAACTTTAAATGCATGGTCTCTCTGGGAAGCCAGTGCTATTTTAAAAAAAGAGAAGAAGGAGAAGAAAAGAAGAAGATAGAGAAAGAGAAAAGAGAGAGAGAGAGGGAGGGAGGAAGAGAGAGAGGACAGGAGAGAGAGGAGAGAGGGAGAGGGATGGGAGAAGAAAAGAAAAAAAGGAATGACGCGTCCTTTTATCTAGAATGAGAGTTTCCAATGATAAAAGAACATTCTAGGCTCTTAGGACAATTCTGAGGCCACCACCACCAACAGAAAGAAAAGCTATGTGTTCGTAATAAAAAATTGTTGAGTGAAGTCAAAGGTGGTAGCATTTCTTTCTTTCTACATAATATGCTTGATGAAAAAGAACTGAGGTTAGCAACAGAGTAGGTGAATGCCAATTATACCTGCAAACTGAAAGGCAGTGATTCACAGGATTGGTGTAAAAAGGCCATGCACATACTAATTTTTAAAATTGCACGTGCAGATATGGCCGTTAGATGCAGATTTATTTTTATCCTAAAGGAGGTGCCTATGTAGGAAATAAAAATAGAATGGTAGTGTATTTTTTGTTAAAACTGCTTTACTTTAGACACTCAAGTCAGTGATGCCTGTGAAACAAGAACATAAACTTATCTAAACAATGTTGCTGATGTGAAAAACATCTGTGGAATTCTTTTGGAATAAAAAATATCCATCACGTTCCTGAACTTCTGCTACCAAATTCTCCTTTCACGACACAACTAATGTTATCTATTTTTAATGTAACTTTTCTATAAATACTGTATATAAACAAATGCATATATATACACATGTACATATATAATTACAAACATATATTTCTCTCACTTTTTAAAATTTAAATGAGAGTATACAATAACATTTGCCTTTTTCATTTAGTAATGCTGTGAAGTTCATTTTTTATTAATACATATTCTTCATTCATTTTTGTAGAGGTATAGTGTTGACTTGTGCAGGGATATGTAATATATTTCACCAGTACCTTATTGATGGACATTTAAGTTGCTTTTATATTTCCTATTAAAAGCAATGCAGTGAATGAGCTTGAAAATTGCACTTGCTGATTGTATTAGGAACTATTTTTTACTGTGCTGTTTTTGCCTGTGTGTGATTAGGTAACGTACATACATGACCTAAAATGTGTGCAGTGGCTCAGCCTATAATCCCAGCACTTTGGGAGGCTGAGGCAGGTGAATCACGAGGTCAAGAGATCGAGACCATCCTGGTGAAAACCTGTCTCTACTAAAAATACAAAAAATTAGCTGG